TTCGCACTGGAGTGGGCAGCAGCGGCGTCGGACGCACACGAACAAGCCAAAATGGTGGGCCGGCGTAACGGGGAACAGCAGGATGCTCCATCCGGAGAGAGGACGGCTGTCAGGCCGCTCTCTTTTTCTTCCTCGCCTGGGGGACCGAGGCCACAGTGGTCGGGGGCAGCGGCGGTGGGACTGCGGTCGGGGCGGGAGACTTTCTGTGCCAGCCGGCTCCGGGGTCCTTCCTCGGCGGGAGGGGCGGGCCGGGCTGTTGCGGCCGCTTCGGGATCTTGAAATGCGGCGGCTGGGAAGCAGCTTGAGCAAACGATTTGCGCTGCACTGGAGGAGAAGGCGTGGGTGCTTTGCGGGGGAGACAAAATTTCAGGGCTTCGTTGTCCTTCTTTTTTGCCTCACATCTCTGCTGCATCGTGGCCAATGCAGAGCCAAAGATACCCTCCGGGACAATTGGCATATCCAGTATGTCATCCCGCTCCCTGTCAGTCAAGTTAGCGAGGCTGAGCCATCTCACTCGCTCCTGAATGACGAGGGTTGCCATCACCTTGCCCGTGGCCTGGACTAAGACGCGCTGGATGAAGAGGGATAAATCAGCGATGACCGCCATTTCATCCCACGAGTAGGGGTCCTGCTCGTCAGAGGACGCCCCAAACAGCTCTGCCTGGTAGGCAGTGAGGATGTAGAGAGAGCTGAGAGCTCTGGCCGAGAGAGCGGCTGCCTTGTACGCCCTCTAGGTCAGTGCAGACTGGAACAGCTCGGGCTTGGTTGGCAGCGTTGGAAGAATGGAGGAGGACGCAGATAGCTGGCTCGTGCTGCCAGGGCAGAGATGCGCAGCTACAGGGGCTTCCACCGGAGGCATCAAGAGGAGGCCCTGGGCTTCCATCGCCTCGCAGTCGAGGGATGCTGCGCCCAGGATGGGGCTCCTGTTGCTGTACGGGCAGTTACTCCAAGTTTTGGACAGCTCGGCCAGCAACTCGGGGAAGACAGGGAGAAGCTGTTTCACCACTCTACGGGCCAGGGGGAACTGCTTGCCTTCTTAGCGGGACCGGGCGGGTTCCGCTACTGCAACCGGCCAGGGGACCTCCAGCTTCTCTGCTGCACGTTTACACATGTCGAGCAGGTCCACATGGAGGGAGCTGGAGAGCTCACCCTGCTTTTCTCCCTGTTGGTAGTGGGCAGCTTCGGCTTTTCAGCCAGGGCTGGAGTCACGAAGACGTCGTCTTCCTCCTCGTCCTCTGATATGAGGAATGAGGTGTCATCGTCATCCGCTGTGATGCCAATCTCCAGCACGTCTTCCTCGGGAAACGGGGGAGCTCGGAGCTGTTCGCACTGGGCGTCCCAGTCGTAGCCAGTCTCCGGAGCTTCCCAGGCCGTGTCCTCGTCTTCCTCCGCGGCTGCGCCTTGGTCAGCGGTGGGGAGAAATGGGACACGGCCTGCGAGGCTAACTTGGCGGGCTAGCCTGCGTCTAAGGCTCTTGACTGTGAACACTTTGCAGTGTCCACAGGACCCGGGAATCTCGAGGGCTAACCTGGCGTGGTCAACCCCAAGGCAGGTACTGCACACCGGGTGGGTGTCCTTCCCCGAGATTTTATTCCTGCAGCAACAGAGCCGAAAATCTCCTCTGGTGTGAGGATCTTTAACGGTCGCCATCTTGCCGACAAGCTGGAGTGCTCACGGAGAAAAAGGCCGTGGCTAGCTGGTGTGCTAGCGTGGGGTCGAGAGGAGTAGCTGGTATGCTAGCTTAGCTCGACTGACTCGAGCGTCCGTGGTGGGGAGCCGAGAGGAATTCCGCCGTGGAGGGGCTGGAAGAAAAAATATTCACCGGTCCAGTCTGGTGTAAACGGACAAGGCAGAAGCCAGAGCACGACACTAGCGTCTGGCGACAGAAGCTAGCAAAGATCCCTCTGGTGAACAGTTAAGCCAGTGAAAGCTCCGACGTGAGATAAGCTCTCAGGTGAGAAGAGGTTTTGAATTGAGGGAGCGTTATCCGCGCACACTATACATAGTAGGTGGGACTACTGGGTGCGGCGCGTACAAACACCTTTCACCGGCCAATCAAGATTGGCGGATTGAGATAAATGCTTCTAACAGGGCTGCAGGAGGCTGCATCCCATAGTGAGAGACCGAGTGAATATTATGAAGAAGAATTCATTCCATGAATTCCTTCCCACTGGCCATTAGAGCTCTTTCTCACATTATTATTAAGGTTAAATGTTTACTGTTGTCTCCATGCAGGTATATTTACCAGCTGTGTTGTATTATTTTGATAAAATGTGATCATCTGCTGCTTCAGTAGGAAAACTGTTATTTTCAAATACATATTTATGTGGGACGGACCAAAACCCTCTACTAAGGAAAAAATAAAACTTAAAACTTTGGTCATTATTAGAGGCCAGTCTCAATGTTCTGATTGAGCTGTTTTGTTTTTGGTCAAATCTTTGTTACTTCATTAAGATAATTAATTTAAAAGAAAACAACTCAAAATTACAACTACAAATGTGCTATTTGTAAACATGAGCAAATCAAGGTTGTACTCACACTGAGCAAATACTAATCACCAAATTATTGCAGCATGTAACTTGAGAGTTAAGACTTTGTCCATTCAGAGTTACTGTTATTAGTACTAAGCAGCATGCTGGCGAGCAAAGGAGGCAGTATTCCATCCTTGACTCTAAAATCAGATCAGAGAAGGCTCCAATTATGAAGAAGCTCTGGGGTGCAAAGGTGCCAGCCTTGGTGGATTAGTCTTATAGCTGAAGCAATTTACGCTTGCAATCGGTGATGAAGAGGCTATTTACTTCAACCATGCTGTTTTCAAGGGCTTATTTTCACCACAACTTGATTTGGATACACCACTTCACAAATAAGATGAAGAGTCACACATTAGGCTCCATCACCTGGGGCTGAATTACACACAAGCTGTGCTTGCACAATGACATCTCCACCTGGATGGGACTCTGGGAGTACCTGAGGCAGATGAGCTGGACTTGTTCTTACCTGTACTGCCACCACAGACAGCACCTCCACTGAGATCCTGTTAAATTCGTCAAAGCAGCCCCATGCCCCCGTCTGAGCAAGGCCTTTGTAGATGTTTCCACAGGACTAGAGGGCAGAGAGAGAAAGGCAGATATTCAGATGGACACTGCTGGACAGGGAGTCAGTAAGTCAGGTCATGATAAGGCACGTGGTGAAGCAGACACAGATATACACCAATTAGACAGAAGATATATGGAAAAACATTCACTGCAGTTACCACGGTGCAGCACCACAGCAGGCTGAGAGTAGGCGTAGAATAACAGGAATGATACATAAACAAGGCCTCACACTAATAAAACAAGGCGTTGATGGCAAAAAGAGAAAGGCTAAAATGTCTTCCACCCACATTTTACTTTTCCCAACATCAACTTGAGAGCAGGTGAACAGCCCTCCAGAGAGCAGCTGGACCAGGATGAAGCAGGCAGCTGACTTTCTCTCCAATTACAGGGCCGAGGAAACCTTCTGTGACGCAAACTGGAGCTGACTGCCGGATTGATTCAGCTTGTGTATGTGTGTGCATAACTGAATATGAGTAACAGTGTGGGGCTCTGAAGCCAGCTTCTAGTGCCTGTGTTCCTCCTGGAGTATATTAGCACCTCTCTCTGACACCTTGCTGCGGTGTGTATAGCCGGGGGTGCTGTACGCCTCTATACTGTAATGATGCCCCTGTCTGGGGGAAGTAGGAGCAAGTCGGATCACAAGATTATGTTTATGTCTCCCCTGAGCACTCTATATGCAGAAAGTGTGCATGTGAGAGTATACAATAGCGCATAATAAAGCAAGGTGGAGGCTGGGTATAGAGAGGGCATTCTGAGAAGGTTTAGTTAAGAGATAACAATCAGGGTTTAACTAATCAGCTCTTCTTTTGAGAGGGAAGTGGGCAAAGAGAAGATGAAAAGAGAAAAGATGAAAAGAGGAGGGCATAAAGGTGGGTTGACAACTTTAATGGCAAATGCATACCATATCGCTGACAAAGGCAAAGATGAAAAGAAACATGCATAATATGGGCCCCTGTGAATGCACATTAGATGCACAGAACACATTCACATCCCCAACTCATCAATGGCTACTTGGTCAGTGGCCCAATACCTTAAACACCCTAGGTACGCCTTTAGCATAATTTCTGGATGCTCAGGGACAGTGTGTCAGCTTTGGCTCCTTTAATGCATAGTGTCTTTTCAAAATAAACCTCTGTAGTTCACAGGAAATGCAGGTTTTAGCAAGTATTTCAGGTTTAGACAAGACAACTACTTAGTGAGGTTAAGAGGAAAGATCATGGTTTGGGTTAATACCCTTTTTTGGTAGGTTGTCTTGGTAATTTTGTGTTTCTCACTGTGCATGTGGGATTCCACTCATTTCATTCCCATGGCTGAGTTTGAAAAACGCATTGCATAAAATACAAATAGCAGACAGTGGATCCTCTGCTCTGAGCATCCAAGCGTGTGCGTGTTGTTGGTTCCATTATCCTGGTATGAGGTTTATGCAAGAAGCATTTAGTAAAAATTTTTTTTTTTTTAAATGGCTGTTACCAATTATTTTGAGATTTTATAACGCAATGTCAGAAAAAAAGTATTCATAAAATCCTATTTCCATAGCATTCTTAAGAATTTTGAACAATTGTTTTAAGACATTATAATACAAATTCAGGCTTTCTTTTTATAATTATGTATTCAATGCCTTTTAAGACTTTTTAAGGATCCGCAGTAACACACTTTATGTGACATGACACACTTGTTATGTAATATCAACTATAAATGTTTTGAATTTTGCAAAAACAGCATTGATTTTTGGTTTCATATGGGACACAAACAGTGGTCTCCTGAGTGAAAGTCCTGTGTTTGTTTGACCCATCGACTACCACACACTGAGGCCCAATGACCCAGCCGCCATATTTGAAGCTCTGGGGATGAGAAAGGGTTGCGATGTGCAGAGGCTCAAATGCAAATACACATGTACTCGCTCACCTTGTAGTCCATCTGCTCAGAGCAGTTAAACACATAGACCATGATGCCAAGGGCTCTGCCCAAGTCTTTGGTAGTCTCAGTCTTCCCTGTGCCTGCAGGCCCTGCCGGAGCACCGCTCATGGTCAGGTGGAGGGACTGGGTCAGGGTGATGTAGCATCTAAATATAGTGGACACACACACACACATCACTGATGAGGACTGTAGCCTGACAGGTAACAACAAAAAATAGCTTTGACGGATTCAACTGACTACTACTCCATTTATAAAGATTATGAAAAGGCCACTTCATTCCTTCACAGTGAGGAGCTTGACTACACAGGGATCAATGGCATCACGTTAGCACAGGGGGTAGCACTGTCTCCTCACAGAAAGAAGTGCAGTTTCTGATATTTTTCTGTACACTTTGCCCTTTTCCATGAAATCTAAGGCTGGATCCAAATGTCCACCTTCGGACTCACCGACTGAGCCCTTGCTGACTTGAGTCACGCTGTGATGTGTTCACCGTCAACATGTCAAGTCTGCATGGGTGCCAGACTGCAAGGCTATAAAAGCTGCTGATAGATAGGCCTTAAGTCTGTTTAACTCGTTGCGGTGGAAATGTTCAAGCAAAAACTACATTCATGTACAGAGTAATCACACAAAGCTCTAGGCTGAGAAATGCCTCACACCTGTGAAAAGTTAAGGTAGTTATATTCCTTATTGACATTCATGCTGTGTGTACACATCTGTCCCTGCAGATAACAAAATATAAATCCCTGTATAGGCTTCTTTATGTGCATAAACCAAATGATATGCATACATTTCTATATAACAAATAAGCTACACACACACACATCCACTGAAGTTTTTGTAAAAGGACCAGACTATGACTAAATAAACTTGGTATTACTTATATTTGAAGATGTTCTTAAGTAGTTTTTTGGCCATTTTTCTTAGCATATATATTTGGCATAACACTGCACAGCTTTTATAGGGTAGGCTGCGATAACAAAGTGCATTATACTCATCATATTTCTTTATCATGATATGGTTGAATATTAATTTTGGCCTACATGATTCAATTCATATTTTGATACAGTAATTGCTTTACACATTCATAGTTTTGTTTTTTTTGTCTTTTTAGTGGGCAACTGGAAAACTACAACATCAAGTCCATTTTGCAATGCAATATAGGAAATTAAATCAGTGACGTCTGGTATACTCTGCACCTGAAGCGGACTCTTCAGAAGTCTGCTTGAGACCGCTTATGGACTAGATGAAGTGAGGATTTGGAAAGCCCTCAGCACTCGCAGACTTCCCAGGAATGTGCCGGCAAAGTCCACAAGGCTACAAGCGCAGCGTAGTCCAGACAACTGGATTTAGGCTAAAATATGCTACGGGAATAATTAAAGATTTTTTTCTCAAATAAAACATTTAAAATTTCAAAGAGCATATTTAAGTGTCATTCTTGCTGTTTGTTTGTTTAGTCCATACACAGACAGAAAAATTTCAATTTGTGGTCTTAGGAGTTACAATGGTTTATTTCTACTTCTCTGCAGCGTTTCCACTGGTCGTCTGACAACTTCACTGTGACAACAACACTCCAGGAGTTTGAGCACTCAGCTGTTGTTCAGCTAGAAATACTCTCAGCACATAACTCCGCCCACAACCATAATTTGTGTACATATACATTTTCGCTTAAGCAAATTTGATACAAAATGTTAATTAGTTAATTAGGTGTACACTTGAACTCTGGACAAAGCCCGACATAGCTGTTTCCCTCTGCTTCCTGTCTTTATGCCTCTTGACCTAACTCTATACTTAACTCAGAAGCATGAGGGTGACATCAATCTCATCATCTCACCTTGGACAGAAAGTTAAAAATAGTCTGACAGTAGTTCAAAACATTGAACTTATCCTTTCAAGATACAATAATGGACTGGCTGTTTATTCTGTTTTTCAGGTTGAAATATCAATGCATCATTTAAATGCAAGTTTGATAATTTAGTTTATGATGCCTTAATAACACTGACAACATGATAAATCAACAGTTGAGTGTGCGGTTGGGAGATATGGCGAGACTCATTTTTTTGGCCAAATACTTCAACACTGATATTGCGACTATTGGGTATTGTAGGATTGAACATTGGTGCTTTTACAAAATATTTACAAGATTTTTGATAAATCATCAGTAATGTGGATCTAATAACTAAGGTGCTGTATGGGACATTCAGACCAATAATGTAGCAGCAAACTGCTACTTGCTATGTAAAGATATAGTGGAGTAATGGCGTCCTGAGCAGAGAATAAAATCACACTACCTGTGTGTGTTGTAATCCGAGCATCTCTTTTTGGTGTTGTGGTACAGCCGCGGATGCATTTTAGCTTATGTGTGTATTCCACTGGGTAGCTCATCAATTTCACTTGGTGATGCACTCATCCTCCTGAGACCCAAACTTTTGTTTAGTATGCATTTTTAATTTCCCATAGCTATTTGGGATCAGTAGGACCTAATAAATATAAAAAAACTAAACACTGTCAGCAATAATTAAGCCCCAACGTCCTCAAACTAAACAATAATTAAGTCCCAATGTCCTCAAACAAAACAATAATTAAGCCCCAACGTTCTCAAACGAAACAATAATTAAGTCCCAATGTCCTCAAACGAAACAATAACTAAGACCCAACGTCCTCAAACAAAACAATAATTAAGTCCCAATGTCCTCAAACGAAACAATAATTAAGCCCCAATGTCCTCAAATGCAACAATAATAAAGTCCTAATGTCTTCAAATGAGTATGCCCTAATTAAGTGCATCCCAACTTGTTACTGTTGTCAAAATTGTTCACATTTGTTGCCATACCAAACTACAAACATTACTGATGACAAATATACATGTTTAAAGCATAAAATGAGATCAGGTTTTGGTAGGGTGACCATATTTTGATTTCCAAAAAAGAGGACACTCGCCCCGGCCACGAGATAGCCTACTTAAATGATACTCGCAGTTTACTCAAAGATGCCTTATAATTTTAATATATAAGTATTTATATGTATGGATAGAAAATTCAGTTATATTTAGGGATGCACCGAATATATTCGGCCGAATATTGCAAAAAAACACATATTCGGTATTCGGTGGAATAAGTTAAAAGCAAGGCTGAATAATAGCGGCGTGTTTTGATAACACAGTCAAACAGCGTGCCGTGACGGGCGGAGTAAAATGTCGGCAGTGTGGCGATCCGTCCGTCACCGCACTCAAATTTGCGACTAAAAATAGTTTTGAGCGAGCAAAATAGGCTTAAATCATTCAGCACGCTGTGCGAACAGCCTACAGATTTCAACCACCAGCAGAAACGAAAGGTGAATCCCACCGATTGTGGGTTGAACGGGGGTCACAGACACAGTAATGTATTCCTGTCAAATACGGCGGCCATCGGCTTACCAGCAACGGAAAAGTCGGCTCCAATAATATCCTCTTCTTGGCGTGTGGACTGCCCAGAAGTACCTGAACAGTCGAGCCAGCCGAAGACAGGTATGTGACGTGTCAGAGGAGGGTGGCTGGTTGATTCTTATTTATTTATTTTATTTTGATCCCCCCTATGTTAATCACTTATTGATGCTGTTTCTGAAGTATGAATAAGTCAATAAGTAATTTATTCCACTGAAATATCATTGATGTAGCCTATAATAGAAAAGTGATTTATCTTTTTATAAATGACAAAAGGCACATCTGCCTCATTTTCACTGTGGTATTGTGATACTACTCAGAACCATGATATTTTCATTGGTATCGTACAGTGGAATCCAATTTTGGTACCGTGACAACACTAATCTGGAGGGGGTTCATCTGCAAAAACTAATGAAAAACTAAACAATGATATTCGGTATTCAGCCAAGCGTTTAATATTATTCAGCTTCGGCTTCGGCCACAAATTTTCATTTCGGTGCATCCCTAGTTATATTACAAAATAATATCTCTCAAAGACAGAAATTTAGATAGGCTTCTCAGAGGTTACTCAACTTGCTTTTATTATGCCTGAAATAATAATCTTTTTACAAGTTTCAATTGTACAAAAATAAATATAAATGTAAAATAAATGTAAAATCTCTGGAATGAAATAATGATAGAAATAATGTCTCTTCTGTATTAGAAAAATCAACTTGTAAAATAATAGCTATCTTTTCAAATCTTACTGGACAAATAAATAAATAAATAAATAATATGAAATAATGTTCTAAATAATACCTCTTCTGTATTAGAAAATCCAACTTTGAGCTCCCTGACACCTTTATTAGACACAGAATCATATGTGCCAGCTTTGTACACGGTGCACCTCCCATATATCCCGACCGGGTCGGGACGGTAAGTTGGGAATTTTTTCTGCAGTTCATCTGTGAAGCTGCACTTGCGCTTCGGCATCTTGGAAGCTTATAGAATAAGGCTGCGCCGCCAGTGTCTGCTGCTTCCTGAGTGTTGGAGATCCGCCGATAAGGCACCCTCTCGGGGATTACGCACACACAAACACACACAAGGAAAACCGGACATTATCATCAATTGATAAACACCCCCCGGACACCCCGGACAGGATGAGAAAAGTGGACATGTCCGGGCAAAAGAGGACGTTTGGTCAGCCTAGGTTTTGGACCTTGTCCAGTTTTGTGTCAGGGTCGGCTGCAGACTGACTTGGCACAGATTGCTGCCATCTTGTTTTTACATGGATTAGTGTATTGTGCTCTTACTTCCACTAGATGGCACAAAAAAGTGACCACGAATGAAGAACAGACCTAAGTTAAGTAGAATGGAGTGTAAAGTCAAGTAAACCCAAAATGTGATGTCCTCATATGAGGGCAGAGGGTCTCAGGAGGATATGGCTGTTAGCTCTATAAACATAGCACCCAACCTCCTGTTCCCCCCTGGTTAACACCATTAGCTCTCTCAGCTCTGTTGCAGTTGTTTAGCACTGTTTATGGAGTACGCACCGTTAGCTGGCGCCAGCTCAGCCAACTCCATGCTTAAACTGTGTGCAGATAACTTATACCCTCTGAATTTTGCATTGAGGGCTTTTAAGACGAGATCTTGTCTCATATCACAATACTGATATAATACTGATATTTTGCCCATCCTTAGTCTGGTGGCACACTGCATACTCCTTGCTGTCTCCCTGTCTTAGTAAA